TGTCAAATGGATGAACCTGCATTTCAAAGTTGATGCTTACTCCATCACTCGAACCCAGTACCGTTCGCTTCAAACATCATCACGTTATCCACTAAGCTACTGGATTCGTGATAGACACTTACTTGTGCAATGGTGTGAAGTTTAAATTCACTTGGTATTATTTACTTGAATCTTTACTTGAATCAAAATCATCCACCTGAGCTACAAATCTTCTCCACCACTTGAATCTTCTCATTGATGATTAGCACTACTATATCGAGACAATACACACAGTATGCACACATACCAATAAGAAACTGATCAATTGCAGTCCTAATCATCAATCGGTAGATTGAAGTAAATAATACCAAGTGAATGTGATCCTATGTTATGTTTGTTCGAGTCTTCAGTTTCTTTTTTTTCGAGATGTCACATTCATAGGATGAATAAGTTGAATAAAAAAACTAATCTACTTAGCTTTTAACTAAGAGAAACATATGTGTTTTTATCAAAGTAACTTTTGTGTTTTTCTTCATAATAAGTAGTTGTGGTGTGTGCTACTGATATCAACAGATATAAGTAGTATGTATCATTCATCGGACGTGACATGTCTAGCCATAAAAGGTTAAGAAGATCGAAGAAAAGAGAATGATTAGTATGGAAACGAAGGAAATGTCATTCACTTTATCAGATACCTCTATATTCATCGACTAACATGCGAACGGCTTCCGGTGAAATCAATTAAGATTCGAGAAGCGCTGAAAGAGCCCAAGACATTCTATTCAATTATCGTTTGCAAGAACATTCCATAATCTCAATATATAACTTCCTTATTGGACAAATGTTTAAGAAATCACTACTCCATGCGGATTGCATTATGGTAATGATGATTTCGATTTTACTAAAAAAATTATAAATACTCGAGTGTTTTGTACTCTATTTGCCTGGTTGGAATAAAATTTCTTTCTACTGGTCTTCTGTTCTCCAATTTTCGACTCGGAGTGTTCAAGTGTTCAAGTGATCAAGTTATACGCTGCAAAGCAAACATTCAAGTTCATCAAAAGTCTTGAATTCTTATTTGCATCAAGTTAAATCAGTCTTGATCCGCTGAACAATTAACAGTTATTTCACAATCCATATTAATAATAATATATCAGTAATATTGTTGTGAACAAGAACACGAATGAGGACAATCGATTGTATTTAACACTAAAATCTGAGAACCGTATAGTAAAAGTTAATTGGTAAACTATCAATCCATTGTCTCAGATTTCATTGTTCATACATTTTCTTTCCTTATCGATCTTCTATTGAAATACGTTCTATGCCTGACCACTGTTATATACTACTTATATGGATATAAGTAACCCACACCATAATATTACCAAGACAAAATAAAGATTATACTTAAATGCCAATATCATATCATGAACATTTCAAAAATTACTCCTTTCGTACTGAGTATTATACAGTATGACATATTTAACTTTTTTTGAACTATAAATGATTCAAGGATTATCTACGATTGTCATTCATTGAAATACTTCAAGGATATCAGACAATTATTAGGAATATTTGAAACAACTTCTTTTTGTTTTCATTTGTATATTACCTACAAATAAATGGACTCCAGTACTCTGCCTTATCATGTGAGAATATATTCAGGTGTTCATTTGTTTATCAACATATTTGCCTATATTTTATTTGTATAATAACTTGTTCATTCATCAACTACAAAAATTTATCTTTACAGTCTTAAGTAAACAATGTGACTATTTTTCTCGTATTATATATATATATATATATATATATATATATATATATATATATATCGACCGTTGTTGCTAACTTGACGTGGTGGTCGGAATCGCCCATTGTGATAAACCAATCAAGTTATACTGGCTGGGACAATCACTCCTCAAGGTCCTACCATGTCAGACAGGTCGGTTGAAGAGCGGTAAGACTAAAAACAACAAACTCAAGGTCTGAGTGCAAAGTCGTACTGCTGACTGTAGAGGGGTGTGACAGCAGTAAGGTGTTTCCTTCAGACAACCAGCATGACAGCGATGCTGCCTTCCCACAAAGAGGGGTGGGGTTAGAAAAGGTCGACCCTAGAAATGTCACACCTCACCTTACCTCACGGATTTCCGTCTCCGGCGGTAAGGCCCTCTGAAGAACGGAGCTAACACGTCAAAAACCTTCCACAAAAAAGCCGTGCGCGACCGGCCTCAAGCAGTTGTTCCTTGGGCACTGCGGTCACGCTCTCAGGTCACTGAGACCGCCTCTAATCCAATTTCCTTTTCAGGTACCTCCAGAACAACCCTTCCACGGTGTGGGCAACCGGGAAGTGATAACCACCCTCGTACCACTAACAGCACCCAAGACCACTATATATATTATACAAGATTAAGAGGAAGAAAAGTGAATGTCCAGAACTGAATCTATTTTGGTGTATACAAAATATATGCTTAGGTGAGTTGGAAAACTTTGTTTCTGAACAAGTCATGCACATAAGGTCGGGTATCCTGAAGAAAAAAATTAGCATATGAACCTATTCTTAGTCACCGGTTAGTACGAGAATACATCTCCTATCGTTATTCCACTGCCTTCTAGATTATATCTCTAGGTCTAAGACGCTGAGAGTGGTCCCATATGAAAGCCACATACTTCTGTTTGGGGATCCTAGTCCTTATACAAATTCTATGTCCCAAATATATATTCATGTTGTACCTATGTTAATATGTTCAAATTAATCAATATTACCTCTGATAGATTGAACAATCAATACTTAATTCAACTATCACTCATATTACAAAAATAGTTTACAGTTCATTTTTTGAAACTAATTAAAATGGTTACATAACATAATACAAATCAATTCTGGCAATTGTTTTTTCTATGCACATTATGTAATACAAAATCATTAAAATTAAAATTTCACATTTCTACATTTTATTAATAAAGATAGATTAAGAACTGGTATTAAATCTCCAGTACAGGGTTGTGAAGATTATAAAGATCATGAATTGATTGGTGTTAGATCATCAATAAAAATCTAGAAGCACTGGACGGCCGTTTTATCCTATTGTGGAACTCCTCAGCAGTGCGCATCCACGACCTCGCTCGCGGGATTCGAACCCAAGGCCTTCAGTCTCGCAGTCTCGTTGAATTGGTTTAGGTTAGACATCAACACCGTTGGATCCTGGCAGACTTAGTGGTCTAGAGGTTGAGCCTTTGCGTGCGAGACTGATAAGTCCTAGGTTCGAATCTCGCGAAGTGAGATGGTGGATATGCGCTACTCAGGAGTCCTATAATAGGACGAAACGGCCTTCCAGTGCTTCCAGGTTTTCGATGATATTCTAAGATCAATATTAGGTGAACTACTTAAATATTATAAGTAGTCATTTCACATGCTTGATAATAAACAAAAATCAGGAAACAATTAAATTTTACAGAAACCATTTCCCTTTTTTTTCTTCTTTTGATTAATGAGATTAACTTAGCTAATATAGTTTAAATTACACTCTTTACAATGTAATTTACTGACTAAATTAGTAACATAGAAAACTGGTACGCCTTATGAGAGTGTATTCAATTTTGATGTCGGGAGAGAATTAACAATATTTATGTGGACGGTGAAGGAGGGCGGGCCAGGTGAAAATAGATGGAATCTCTGATTATTAAAACAAAATAAGATTTTGTTGAGTTTCAATGAAATATATTAGTTAACATGATTTTAGCATAATGGCGGAAAATAAAATGAAGATCATCAGAAAGCGGCCTGTTTGAATATCTGGATTACGTGTTTCTATCATCTAGATATTTCAAAAAGTTATCCGTTTTCTTGTTTGGTTGTCTTAACGCATCACTATTAGTCTACCACTCTCATAATCTATTCAGGTGTGTTTATTAAAAGTTTACGACGATTCGTTGTACAACTTACAATAGAGCTCAATCAGAGATATCGTAGTTGCTGTCAATATGCATCAAAAGAATGTACATTATTCAAATGTCAATTCCTGAACAGCTAATATCTAACTGTCAGCCACTCAATATTTATCGTAAAGATCGATCACGAAATAAGATAAAAGGAAACTTGTTGAAATACTTTATGCTGAGAATTCTATATTGTACGAAGAATATAATATTGAATAAAGGCACTAATAATAATAATACTTTTACCATAATGGCGGGAAATGAAATAAAGAACACAGTCATAAGTATTAGAATGTTTTGTTCAAACTAGATTCGGAAGTTTTGGTCTTTAGATAAAATAATATCGATTTGATGCATGTACACTGCTGAAGAGCCCTACATTAGGATGAAACAGCCATCCAGTGCTTCCAGGCTTTCCATGATGGTCAAGCTTCAACTGACTTATGAATTCAATTATTAAATTACTACAATCTCCAGAAAACCCCTTTCTGATGATAAAAATTACTCAACAAGAACACTGTTAATGTGAAAGGTCAAGAGTTTTAAGCTTAAAAATAGTAATTCTTCATTGATTTTAACAAGGCATATAAACCTAAAATTTCAGATAGGAATTTCTTAGCTTATGATTAAATGCTTATGTATATAATTGATCGTAGTTCAGTTGTTTTGAAGAAATTTTGTTGCCTTGGTTTATTGACCCTTGTAGACTCAGTTACCAGTACGATCGGTAATATATACGACAACAGAAGCTCAACACCTCCTGGATTCAATGGTTGTACAATTGATGTCAAACAGCTAATACAAACCAGTTATATGCATCTATCAAACACGTGAATTGATTTCGGTTCAATAACCAGTGAGGAGCTGAAAGCATTAAACGAGCATTTTTTTTCCCAATATGAGACTCATTAAGAGTGTGTATACACTAACCTGCAACCGCAAATCGAATCCTGGACCTCTCACGTAAACACTTAACCTCTAGATCACTGAGTAAGGAACCGATGTTTATTTAAAAAGAACTACTTATTTCGTGTAAAACCAAGATATCGTTTTAAAAATACATAATTATGATTGTTAAAAGTTACCTTAGATAATTTAGTTCTTCTATTTGTTTCCCTCTTTTTGTCTTGATTAGTTGTTTTCATTTCATAATCTGTATTCTCATTTGGTTTGTTTGTATCGGATTTTAAAAACGTCGTACCATATTCCTCTTCATTAGAATCCATTGATTTTATTTGTCAGGTAATAATGATATTACTAAAAAATAAATGAGAAATGACATTATTATAACCATTACGGCATCAAAATCATCTAATGTGAAAATCATTTAAGTCAGTCAGTGAGTCAGCTACAAAGTATGACACGGTACACATATACATCGGCCCACGCTGCCATACCTCATTAACACAACAAGACCAACACCGAATTCATACTACTGCTACTACTTACTCCTGTTACTCCTCTTGGAGAAGCATAGGCCGCCCACCATCACTCATCATCCACCAAATCCATAGAAGTAGTTAATTCAGTGGTATCAATATATAAAAGAAAGATTGCATATAAAGATATGGTACAGGAAGAAAGAATTAGTTCGTAAAAAGAAAAATATGAAGCGATTTTAAACTCATAGTATAAGGGAAGACAGAGAGTACATACACCGACACCATTGTGATCGATTCTCAAACATGTTACACATAGTCTACAACCATTGGTTACAACCAAGTAGTCTGCATTGACTGACATGGCTCAGATCAGAAGTTAGTAACTTCAAACACCGATGCCACGTTTTGGTTTGGCCTTCTATTACTTCTTTCCAACCATCTCCAACACTAATCAGCATTATGCGTCGTGGTAATCAGTGTCCAGGCATAAGTAACACGTGATCTAACCATCTCAGTCGATGAAGATTCACAGCCTCATCAAGTGATTTATGAATAACAAAAATAAATATTCATTCTTTGCTTGTTGTTTTTGAATTTTTACTTGTGTATACTTGTTGGTTGACATAAATGACACAGCTATTCATTTGCCAACATACAACATTGATTAATTATTTATTTACTGGGTAGGAAGTTTTGTCATTTGTAATCGATTCATTAGTGATTTAAGCATTTGTTGTCTAGACAAAGAGCTTATTCGTCACAGCACTTAACTCATTTAGTTTATGACCTATCAGAAGAAAACCAACATATTCTTTCAATTGATGTATATATTTACACAGGGATCTGTGTCGACTATAGACTTTTCACAGTCTGAACCATAATATGATCTTAGCTACCACCATAAATATGTAATTTAAAATGGTTAAAATTAAAATTCTACATCAATAAAGATCAAGTATTTTTGCATGAGACCAAAGATCCTAACTTCGACTTCACGATGGGGGACTGTGTTTTCGATTGCTGAATAGTCCCATATTATGATGAAATGGCCACCTAGTACTTCCAGGTTTTCAAATGATGGTAATTCGAATTGAGCATTGGGTAGATTGTTATAAATAATATAAAATAACATATTTGCATATATTCCAATAAGTAGAAAAATTAGATTTTCTGATGTTTCGTGACTCGGTATAAGCCACTTCTTCAGAGAATAAATAGACAAGTTAAATTAACCCAAGTTTAAATAGTACAAAGGAACAAAGCAAAAGTACTTGTTGCGATCAATATATGAACAAGTCAATGTCATGTCATTCCAGTCAAGGTGATTCATTTATACATTCACAATTGCATAATTGTAATTTCCAAAACAAAAAATTAGTATCAGAAGAGGTTTTGTGGATATTATAGTAATTTATAATAGTTGAGGTCATGAGTCAATTAAAGCCAGATCACTATAGTGAGACTGCTCAACAATGCGCATCTGCGATCCCTCCCAGCAATATTCGAACCCAAAACCTATCAGTTTCGTATGCGAACGCTTAACCCCTAGACCACTGCCCTGGATTTTAATGGTTTTTATGTCTAACTTCAATGAATCGACGAAATCGAACAACATATCTAACATTATCTTTGGTGAGTTACTAATCTCACAATAGACACCATTGAACTCGACTGATCACTGCTTCTCACTAGAATTCATCATCAACTATTCATTTTCATGATAAAGTTGAATGCACTAAATTGCATTACATTTTATATCTCCATACAGAGAAAGAAAAAAAAGAATATTAAGCAATTTCGTTGTTATTACTAGACTTAGAAAGGAACAGAAAAAGTATCGTTATCTTGTTTGAAAGAAGGGAAAAAACCATTGAAACGATAATGTTAAATGTTTCATTTACTTTCTTTCTTTTTTTTTTCATTATACAATGTTAATATTCATTTAGTTGCTTTTTCTTCTCTCTGTCTTATTACATTTATTGTTATGTTAATGATACAAGTTACGTAACAAAAATATTTTGAAGAGAAACTTATTCATGTGAACTGTACAACTAGTCAATGGGTTGGAGCATTAAGTATTGCGTGTGAGAGAGAGAGGGAGAATGAGAGAGAGAGGGAGGGAGAGAGAGATGAAAGTCACTTTGTTCACTAATCAGTTTTTTCTTTCATTGAAAATAATTGAATAAATTTCAATTTAACAATAATTTGAAAACATTACTTAGAATAGATGGATTGTTGTTAATAGACAAATCTAAGACGTAGGTTTTGTCTGATCTTGTTTTATTTGTTAGCTAGATATATCTTCATTTCAGTGTTGATATTCATGACATGAATCGAATTCAATACTTTTTTGCTTCTAACACCACTTGCATTATCCATTGAGTTATTGTTTACCAATAGCTAATAACTTGTTCATTGGATATGATTTTCATGTAATTGACATTATTATGTAGGTACCACCCCATAGATAGAACAAAATGTACGTCCTTGATTCCACTGTTAATTACAATTCATCTATTCTAAATAACTAGTGGAGTAACCACTACACTGAGTCAATCAACACAGGGTGTACCTAAATCAAAAAAGGCCAATCAAGGTTCTATCAATAACAGTAACAACAGGATACCTCAAACACTAATTATCAATATAGGATTGTGAAGATCATTAAGTTTTTGATTGAGATAATGAACCAATTAAAGTTAGACTACCGTTGAAAACCTGAAAGCACTGGACGGCTGTTTCTTCCCAGTATAAGGCTCCCCAACAGTGTGAATCCACGATTCCGCCTCGCGAGATCCGAATCTAGGACCTATCAGTCTCGCGCACGAACGCTCAACCACTAGACCACTGAACCTGTCGGGATTCAATGGTGTTAATGTCTAATCTCAACCAATCCATGAAATTGCGCGACCATCCTCCATTTTACTGAGGTAGATTCCTGTCTCTACCTGACACGGATTAGCTCTACTATTCTTGGCTTCTCACTAGAATCCCGAGAATTCCCTCACGAAACTAGTCACTAGTGAAATGTGAAACATTGTGTCTTGTGATTCCTTCATGCAGAAATGATGGTTCATAGTGTTGACTATTAGTACTTCTAGTCAAACTATAAATTTGAAACACCATGTCTAATGAATAAATAGATAACTTATTTCCATTGCAAGCTGTGAAATGAATCTAAACAAGCAAAATTGTCTTTGAAATAGTACAAAACTTAATAAACCAGGAGTATTACATGGGTTAAATTATCCTTTTCTAGAAGTTAAATGGAGTAATATTTGTATCAATTCTACAACTTAACAGTTCGTCATTGAAAAGCAATTTCTTAATTGTTTAGTCGTACATTTGTAGTAACCAAATTAGATTACATTCCGTTGGTTTCAGACAAATTCAAAGACTTAATCTTAATATCATATTGAAACTAACTGACGAATGCTTGGATATATTCCACAGAAATTTTTGTTTATAAATGGTTTTATATATTTCATACATTTGTGGTCTAGTTAGTTAAGCACCTGGCGCAGGACTGATACGTCCTGGGTTTGGATCTCGCGGGGTGCAAACCGTGGATGAGCACTGCTGAAGATTCCCATACTAGAGTGAAACGGCCGTCCAGTGCTTCCAGGTTTTCCATGGTGATCTAGCGTCAATTGACTCATGATTTCAATCAGTGATATTTCCAAATAGTCAAGTCAATATCAATTCAAGTAAACCTAATCTCATATATAAAAAATAAATGTTTCTATAAGACAACTAAAATCTTAGTTATGAATGTTTGAACAGCATATTAACTAATTTCAATGATTGAGATCATAAGTTAATTGAAGCTAGACCACCATGGAAAACCACCTAGTGATTAATCAGTTGTAAATATTGTAGTGTTTATACAAAATCAATTAATTGATAAGTAGATAATACTGACTGATTCAAATCGAACACCGTATGATAAATATTTAAATTGATCTACACATTAAAGCATTACTTGGTGATATAGTCACAAAAGTTACCCGTGATATGTTTAAATGAAAGGGGACATATATTACTAATCACAAAATAAAGAGTTATAAAAGAGCTTGTCATACAACAACAAATAATAGGTTGTGGGAATTTTTGAATTTCATGGAAATCATGAACCGACTGACGTTAAACCACTATTCAGAACCTAGAAGCACTGGATGACCGTTTTATCCTATTATTGGGAACTCCTCAGTAGCAGTAGTGGTCTAACTTAGGATTGGTTCATGATTTCAATAAAGAAGCTAGTAGCTGAATGCTAGCTTAAGCAGAAACATTGAATTCTTACACTATGTTTTAAAGGAAACGTGATAATGATGATAAGCTTTAAAACTTCTGATTATGGTTCCTGATTGAATCTGTGTGTACACACTTCTGAGAATTCTCTTATCAAAACATAACAGTTCTTCACTATTCTCTATTCATTGTTAATAATCCAGTAGATAATGATCTGTGATAGAAATCAATTGCAATCTAACATAAATGTTTTTTTATCAGTTTAGTGGTTGTGGAGATTAAGCTTTCGATTGAAATCATGAACTGATTGATGTTAGACCACCATTGAAAACCTGCAAGCACAACTAGATTTATTTATCTAAATATTGCTAATCAAAAAGCATTGAACAAATGTATGATCGTTGTATGAAACTTTTCAACAGAACACACATACACAACCCTAACAGAAATCGAACTTAAAAATTTCAAAATTCTTCTTGCATCATATATCAGTTTACTAATCGGACAAAACGATCAATAAAAGTTTTCTGGTTTTCAACGGTTCTTGATATAAAACTATAAAATCCATAATCCCCTCATATGCATAATTCAATTAGATAACATTCAGCTACAACGTAAGACCAGGTACAAATATACAACGGTTTAAGTTGCCATACCTCACTACCACAAAAAGATCAACACAAAATCCATAGTAGTCACTTCAATGATAGTACTATATAAAACAAAGATTGCATATAACGATATGATGCACGAGGAAAAAATCATTTCGTAGAAAGAAAAATATGAAGCGCTTTTAATCTCACATTTTAAGAGAGGACAAAGAGTGTATACACCGACACCATTGTGACCGATTCTCAGCCATGTCACACATAGTCTCCAATCATTCGTTACGATAATCACGCGGACCACAATCAAGTAGTCTGCATCTACTAAAATGGCTCAGACTAGAAGTTAGTGACCTCAAGCACTGACACCACGTTTTGGTTGGTTTGGCCGCTCCTAACTTTCTTCCAACCATCTGCATCACCAGTTAGCATTGCTTGTCGTGGTAATCAATGTTCAGGCATACGTAATATGTGATCCAACCATCTCAGTCGATGAAGAATCACAACCTCATCAACTGATTTACCATTATTCACTAATATTCTGCGTCTAACCTCACTATTACTTAACTGGTGATCCCAGCAGATATTGGCAATATTTCTAAGGCATATGTAGTCAAATACTAGTAGCTTACGTTTGTCTTCTACGAAGAGTGTAAATCATAAATGTTATTTTCTATTACACACTACGTGATACAAATTAACTGTATAAGATCATTATATAATGAAGGCATTTATACTGAGCATAAAGTATAAGGCTGAAAATGATGTTCGGACAACCGTTTCTTCATGTAGAAAACTGATTTTGTTAAACATTTGATTTTGAGCATCTAGTATGCCAATTTATAGTTTAGTCAAGTTAGATTTTGGCCATTAATAGGACCTCGAACACTAGTTTCGTCGTATTTAGAACTAAACAACTGGATATATCTGTATCTCTTTGAACTACACTATGTGGTTTTCTAATTTAAGTGAGTTTGTATAACTACTAAATTTTTTAACGAAAATAAAGTTATCAAAAGGGGGTTTTGTGCAGATTTTAATAATTTTTCAGTTGAATTCATGAGTCAATTGAAGCTACAGCACCATGGAAAACATGGAAGCACTAGACCTCCGTTTCGTCTTAGTATCGAACTCCACGGCAGTGCGTATCCATGATTCCACCCCGCGATATTCAAACCCAGAACCTATCGGTCTAGCGCGTGAACATGAGATAGTATTAGTGAAATAGTAACTAACTGAAGACAACGGTGGATGTTTTGCTCAATTTCGTGGAGTAGTTGAAGTTAGACATTAACACCGTTAGATGCCGGCTAAGTTGTGTAGAGGTTATGCGTTAACGCACGAGACTGATAGGTCTTGAATTCGAATATCTCTGGGCGGGATCATGGATGCGCATTGCTGAGTAGTTCTGCGATAGGATGAAACGGTTGTCAAATAGTGCTTCCATGGTTTTCCATGATAGTCTAGCTTCAATTGGCTCATGATCTCAACTATTAAACATTACTATAATTATCCACAAGATACCCTTTTTCGATATTAATACAATTTAAATAGTTAAACAAAATAAATGTTACCTTTTTTGTTCTTGTACTAGTTCCAATAAATTTTTATGTGTTTCACTGTGAAGAAATTTTGTAACTATTTAGAAAGATTTCATTACTTTGTTTGTTATTTATGACTTTTATAAATTTAATAAATATGTTATTGTAGTTCAATGAAATGTAACTGGTGGAACAAGTCAGTTTGATAGTGAGATAGACATCTATCAATGATAAAGAATGAAAGTTGTATTATGTCATAAATTAACAGTGTGAACTACTGAACTCCAGAGTAGTACTCTATTCTTCCTATTCAAATTGTTTGGTTACTATGATTAGGTTAAAAATATTTCAATGGTTGAGATTATGAATCGATTAAAGCTAGACTACTATGGAAAACCTGGAAGCACTGAATGACCGTTTCGTCTAGCATTAACTGACTTATGGTTTTAACTATGGAACAAAGAGGTATTTGTACATCTAAGCTAATCTAACTATTATCATTATCCATAACGTCTTACAAAAGATTCATTTTCGCGTATTTCACTGACATACTATCTTCTACAAATAGTTCTGGTGAACGATATTGATGTATTCAATCTATCTCAGTCAGTCAGTCAGTAACAACGTGGAACTTCGTACCTACGTACATCAGTTCGAGTTGCCATACCACATTAGCACAGAGATGCACTTGTCGATTCAAATCCCATAGTGGTAGAGGTGGTAAAAGTATAAGCAGTAATCTAAAACATTAGGGTTTGAAGATGTTATTCAAGGAGTATAATCCAGTGCAATAAATTGGGAAAGAGGAAAAATGGACATGAAGAATTCAGAAGATTAGAATTTGGGAGAACACAGAGAGTGGATGCACCTGCGCCATTGCAAACGATTTTGAGCCATGTCATTCAGGGTCTCTAACCATCGGTTGCTATCATCTCGCGGTCCCCAACCAGGTAGTCTACACCTACCAACATGACTCAGTTCACTTGTCAGTGACTTCATGGACTTGTGCCATGTTTTGATCTGGCCACACCTAGCTTTCTTCCAACCTACTCCTACATCATAAAACATTGCACGTCGAGGCAGTCGGTCGTTGGGCATATGTAACACGTGTCCCAGCCATCTCAACTGATGAAGTTTCACTACGTCATCAATTGATTTGCCATGCTTGCCTAGTACCCGTTTCCAAACAACGGCGTTACTTACTCGATGGTCCCAGGATATAGGAGCAATGTTTCGAAGACACCTATGATCAAATACTAGTAACCTACGAATATACTCTATTCTTACCGTCCATGTTTCACTGCCAATAAAATAGGACGGAACGAACTGCTGTTTTACATTTATGTTGGATTTTCTCTAAGGTTATTATTCTTCATACTTTTCATTGTGTTTATTATTAGTATTACATATTTTAAGGGTATAAATTACATAAATAATCGATATACTTATAAAGAAAAATGGCAAGACTATAATTTTTGAACAAACCAATCAGATTTAAGATAATGGGTCTTAGATTTTGGCGCAAAATTCACTCACACATTTGGCATTTTAGCTGATGTCAGTTTGTGATAAAAAAAAAAACCTGTAAATCTAATTTCTAATCTTAATCATCAACTATAAATCATAAAACTTATTCTTCAAACTGCTTTATAACCCTCATTTAGCCCTAGTGAGTAAGTAAGTAAGTGAGTAGATCCTCTCAAAGTGATTTCGGTGTCACTTAAATGTTGTCCATAAATTATAGCCTAACCAGAAAAACTAAGGACAAATTTCTGAAAGGAAAAAATCAGTATAATAAATAGTAGTCAATAAAACGTACTGGATTCAATTTAATCACATTGGATATCGAGTCAATAAAATGTCATTGTTTCTAAGTAAGATTTACAAAAAAAATTTGGACAATCTATTTCCAAAATGGTTTAAAATGATGACATGCAAAGATAT